CGGTGGGGACCCGCCGAGCGCCCGTCTAGTGTCATCACCCCCTCCTCAAAGCATTCTTCCGATCGTCTTTGAAACACGCTCACGTTTTTCCTACTTAAGAACAAAGTAAATAAACGCTTGCCTTTCTCTCGATCTTCCACCTGCGGCCACTTTCTGTTTCTTCTCCTTTCCTGCCCCGCAGCCAAACTTCTTGTCTGGTTTCAGCCACTTCCTTTCCTCGCCTCTCATCAACTCTTTAACCCACTCGAGGCATCCCCTTGATCGCTGTAGAAAACCCCGGCTCAAGGGACCAGTGTCCTCCAAGTTGCTAAATCCAGCCCTTTTCCGTTTTCAGCTTACCTGAGTTCTCAGCAGCGTTTGCTTTTGAGCCCTGCTTCTTCTGCTCACGCCCTCTTCCTGGGGTTTTAGTGGCTTAGCTTGGCGGGTCTATCCCCGTCTTATTTGCAGGCCCCTCTTTGTCAATTTTTGTTGACTCAAGGCTCCCTCTAGGCCCTCTTGACTCCCAAAGGCAATTTCTTTTTTTTTTTTCCTCCAGCCTGGGCGACACTCACTGTGTGTCACACTGTGTCGCCCAGGCTGGAGTGCAGTGGCGCGATCTCGGCTCACTGCAACCTCCGTCTCCCGGGTTCAAGCGATTCTCCTGCCTCAGTCTCCCGAGTAGCTGGGACTACATGCGTGCGCCACCACACTTGGCTACTTTTTTGTGTTTTTATTAGAGACAGGGTTTCATCATGTTGGCCGGGCTGATCTCGAACTCCAGACCTCCATTGTGTCGCCCGCCTCGGCCTCCCAAAATGCTGGGATTACAGGCGTGACAAATTTCTTTGTACTGAGCCACCTTTACTCTAAAAGACAAACTTCTATAATCTATCTGCTTATTCCATGCTTCAGAGGCTTCTAAGTTCAATATACATATCCCAAAGCAAATTCGTTATCTTTCTAAGTCTGGGCCTCTTGATCCCTATCTCCACGAATGGTACCATTATCTGTTCAATTCAGTGCTAACCAGAGATTGAGAAATCATTCCTCCTACATTGTCCATCACCTGGGCGTCCAGTTCCTCACCAAGCAAAGTGTATTGTACCTCCATGTAGATCTACCAAGCCCACCGGCTTCTTTCCATCCATACTGGCACCATCTTTTTTTTTTTTTTTTGCCTGGGCTGTTCACTTCCACTCAGCATACGTTCCTGCCACCATTCCCATCCACAGCATACTCTCAGCCTACTCTCCAGTCACCCCCACATTTTTTTTAAAATTTAGATTTCTGGTATTTTTCATACTCCTACCTTCTTCCATGGGGCATTTGAACATTTTTTTTTTGAGACGGAGTCTCGCACTGTCGCCCAGGCTGGAGTGCAATGGCAGGATCTCGGCTCACTGCAAGCTCC